GGTTTAATTCAAACATTATTTTTCTATTCATATGCAATAAACGTTCATTTCTAAGCAGTAAATTGGAGGATGCCTCTCTTCATAAATGCACAGATGGATATGCAAAATAACATTAAGAACAAGTACCTTTTAGAATATTTGAATTAAAATGTCATGAAAACAGCTAAACGCATCATGAAAATGAAAAAGCAACACATAAATTTGCCCTTTGATGAAAGAAATGAAAAGTAGGAAACTCAACATAATACATTCTCATGTAGATTTCAACTTTAATTGAAGTTTTATCCATTTTCTCTGACAGATCCTGTGGTTCTTAAATCATCTGGGCTAGAAAATCAGACTGTAATAACAGAGTTTATCCTGGTGGGACTCTCCAATGATCCACATGTAGAGGATTTTCTTCTTCTTTCATTTATGATAATCTTTTTAGTCACCATCCTGGGAAACATAACCGTTATATTGGTGATCAAGTCTGATGTCCACCTTCAGACCCCCATGTTCTTCCTTCTCAACCATTTAGCTTTTGTTGACATCTGCTATTCCTCAGTCACTGTTCCCAAGATGCTGGCAAACTTTGCAACAAAGCAAAAAACTATTTCCTGGGAAGGATGCATTGCACAGATCTTCTTCACTTTCCAAACAGCTGGTACAGAAGTGTTAATCCTCTCAGCAATGGGTTATGACCGGTATGTGGCTATATGTGACCCCCTGCATTACAGCAGGTACTTGACAAAAGAGATATGCAGTAAAATGGTGGGTGGCGCCTGGCTCCTGGGATTCTTTAATGCTATGATGAATACACTGCCTTTGCTAAATCTCCATTTTTGCAGTAACAATATCCTCAGACACTATGCTTGTGAGCTTCCTTCAATCTTGGCTTTATCTTGTGCAAGTACCTTCACTAATTACATCACTCTTTCTATATCTGTATTGGTATTTGGTGTTAGCTCATCTCTTATCACCCTTGTCTCTTATATTTACATCATTTTAACCATCCTGAAAATCAAATCAGCAGAAGGCAGGCAGAAAGCTTTCTCTACGTGCAGCTCCCATCTCATTGTGGTGGGCCTATTTTACATTACAGCTTTTGCTCGGTATGTGAAGCCCAGTTCAGAATCCCTCATGGATCTAGACAAAGTGATCTCTATTCAGTATAGCATTTTAACTCCAATGTTAAACCCGATCATATATAGCCTGAAAAACAAGGAGATCAGATCTGTTCTACTGAAAAGGTTTGGAAAATGTAGTCCCATTCCTTACTCTTGGAACAATATCCAGAGCTCTTAGTATTTGAATAGAACCAGCATTGGGTAATGGAAAAACAGATGACTAATATAGGAGGGCTCAGGCATGGTCTCCCTATCTCCTAATGCTTCCAATGCTGTGCTGCTAAATTTATGTAGAATAATCCAACTGAAACAAGGTAGACATGTTCTAACTGAACAGTTTTATATATGATCCATCTTATTAAGCAATTTAAAAAATGTTATGAAAGCATACAGACCCATTTAAATATCTTTTTTTAAACAAATGCATTCCCTCTCATATATCTCTAAATATATTTTATCTTATATCATATATTTTAAATATGTTTTTCAAAAATATTTATTTCTAAACAGGTATTTATATATTTATGTGAGAATGGAGCTGCATGTTTAAAAGAAATGAGAAATCCAATATATTCTGCACTATTCTATGACATGCACTTTTAACTGGAATATTAAGATCCATCATTCCATATCAAAACTTAGAAGTAATGCAAGAGATTTTGCATAGCCGTATATTTTATAGGTATTAAAGCTACGATGGAAGAGACAGATCTGAACATTTCAGTTGAATGATTCAGTCCTAAATAAAATACTATACATATATATTCATCATGTAGCAGTTTTCAGTTTCTTCTGTTGTCCGGGTAGAATTTCTAGTCATAACCCATCTAATTTGGTTTAGAGAGATCAACCTGCGCACAGAAGGTTTAACTGGTTTTGTGGATCATTTTAAAGAATATGCTATTAACATTCAAAAGGCATATTGTTTGTCATGTGATGATTAAATCTGATCCAGTGAACAACTTTTCTTTTTTTTTGTTATTTATTGAGTGTTGTTTTGCTTCCCAGAATTGTAACATGAAAGAATCTGTCTTGGAGGGTGAAGCATGCTTAGAGATTAGGAGTGATATCCAGACTTAGAATCTTTGAGAAATTGGGAGATCGTTAAGAAATCTTTATCATGCACTTGGTTGTACAAAAAAATATGAAAGCAGCACAGACAACCTCCTCTCTCCTTTACATTGATCTTCAGCTGGTGATAAAGTCCTAACAAGGGACAAGGGTGGAAGGGCAAGGAAGGTGCAGAGGTTCGAAAGTTCAAAGCTTACATTGTTGGAATTTTATGAGCTGGGTGATGGTTCCTTACTTTGTTCATTGACAACTAAATTGTGGGAGTCTTGCTCATCTG